TATAAATCTATAGATATCAATAATGATCTGGTGAACACACAACCATTTATCAACATTTCACATGTTTTAAAAAGAGTTGGGTAAAAATACATAAAATAAGGTTGTGTTAAAGTAAAAGCAGTACTATAGCATGTAAATAGTAAGTAAAATGGACAGTACTGTATATTGTTAAACAGTTTATCATGAACACAAAACATACATTAACTGTATAATGTAATCAAATTATTCATAAAAATAACATTTGACCTCAACTTTCAAGGTCAAAATATCGAATGACTTTATTACAGAGTTCTTTTAGATAAAAAAGAGAATATGTATATAATTTACATAACAACCTTAAATATAACCCTCTTTGTTTTCTTCCTAATTATTTAAGGGTTAAATGAATTTAAATTTGGGGTAATATAAAAACAACCAGTCTGTATGATATAAATTAAATAGAAAGAAATATAAAGTGTTAATAATGATTGACAGGTAAAACATAGCAGTTTGTTATATATACACTTAAAGCAGCAGTTGGTCATCATTATCAATCATTCAATTTTTTCTCAACATTTTCGCTCTTTAATAAATTGAAGTAAAGCTAGGACTATGTAACTATACACCCTTCTAAAATCAGTTCTAAAATAGGACCAGAATTACGTGAGCCAGTGCCACTATCTGCAAGTTTAATTTTAATTCAAACATAAGAAAAAAAATTCACTTTGTTTTTGTTTGGTTTTATGGTGCACCAGTCAAATCATGTGGCACCAAAACAGGAAAGATGATTTTGGCTTACCTTGAGTGTTACAAACTTAAAGCAACACCAGGGGTCAAAATCACCTCTCCTCCTGGAGCTAGGTAGTTACATTTTAGCAACAACAAAAAATCACTTTTAACAATATATGATTGTATAAAAGGGTTAAAGCTTGATGTATTTGTAATTTCTTTCCCTCATTCTAAAATGCCCAATGAATTCTGGTCAGATTTGACTAACATTTAAAAGGGTGTTTTAACAACTACAAATACAACCGCTTATTTTATGTACAATATGTACTTTTGAATTATAATAGCACCATAATAAATATATGTGACTTACTTATTATATACATATACTTAAGGGAACAACAGTATTTCTTTACTACATGGTTTCATTGGTTGCTATGGCAACACAAGAATTTATCAAGTTTTCGTTTCATTTGTTCATGTTTTCATCCTACAATAACACCTTAAATGATACAGGTGTGTATTCAAGAACATATCATTAAGACAATCTTTAATTTGTATGGATTTCTCATGGTTGTAATAATCAAATGCATAATTTATTTACATTTTCCTGTTATCCTTTAACAGGTAGAAAACATGAAAAAGGGGAAAACTAAAATTCTTGAACCTATACCCTAATAAACATTCTGCAAACCATCTAATCAAAGCATATTCTTAAGTCTTGAATGTATACTTCAATAAAGATAAACTATATCATTTAATAAACACAACTTTCTAAATTCTGCATACAGTATTTTGGTTAAGTTAAATCATTTATAATGTAAAAATAATAAAGATACCGTTTTTATAGTGTCATAGTTGATGGTGTGTGTTTAAACGCTAAATACATGTGATAGCTAATATGAGCATTCTTTTAATTTAAGTGTTTATTATGTCTACCCCTCCACAATTAAAAGTGCCTATATTCAAGTATTGGACCTAATATTCTACTATACTCAAATTCTAAAGCATAAAACATACTAAATTTTTTCCCTGAAGTTTAAAAGCAATCTCATGGAGTATACTTCCTTTATTAACTAATAAAAAAGTACAATTTTTTTTTAAAGTAACAAAACTTTCAAATTTTCTAAACCATCACATATTAATAGTAAATCTTTAAAGAAAAATTGCTATTAGGTTAAGAATGCTTTTCCTATGAAAACTATTTAACAAAAGTGTTTTAAATTAAAGAAAGATGTTGTTTTTAGGTCAGTGGTTAATTGGGGCATTCTTAAACATTCATTCGTCAAGATTAAGAAATAAACAAGCACAATAACAGAGTCGAAAATGTAAAGGAAAGTTTGATTTATACTGTAACGAGTAGAATATTATTTACTCGAATCAACAGTAATTACAAAAATCTTTCCTTTTAAAACATCCAGGCAATCTTTAGTTTCAGCTTAACCCATTACCTGGTGAATTTCTCAAATGAACTTGAACTTGTCTACCTTCCATTTTTGGAACATTCCATTATCAATTTTGGGGATATCAAGATGAAAATATGAAGTTTGTCAGCTAACAGTATAGGGATTGGTCAGACTGTATTGATGTTCAGGTTGGCCTGGCTCTATATTGGTGGTAAGGACAAATCACTATTGGTTACCAGCAAGATAAGGGTTTTAAAACATAAACACAAATAAAGCACTAATGGTGAAATGAGCATCTGTTTCATTATTTTCATTACAAATCCTAAAACTGCCTTGTCTTTCATTTTTTTTTTCAATATAAAAATGTTGAACATTTTCTGTCATTTTGAAACCTTCTGCTCTGAAATTTTTATCACTATGTTGTACTGGTTTCCTATCAGAGTACAAAACAGATTTCACGAAAAGAAGAGATAGTATGCTGAAACGGAACTGCATCAATTTCAGTAATTAAGGATTTAAATAAACTATTTACTAATTGATTATTATTGAAAAAATGTATCCGAAACACAAATAAATGAAGTTATGCCCCTTTTCTACGCATATCTATTATCATTTATTTACAATCCATGATTAAAGGCATACTTTGTAGCCATGTTACTATGGTAATAACTAGATTTTAAATATCATCATAATTCCTTATTATTAACATATTTCTAGTAATTAGGTCTGAATCTTTCAAATGTTGCGTTTCCTCTGACAACACCTTTACCCTTACATCACCAAGTGTTCAATTTCTTCCCCAAAATGATGAATAGAAGTCTACCACACCACTATTTTCTTGGCAACACTGAATTCCATCTTCTACTAACTTCAGTAGTGTTCAGTACCATACCTTGTTGCTCTATCATGGCATGTTCCGCTTTGGTGCACAAAATGGCTACCAGAGCTAAAATATAAAGATATAGTCCGGCTTTCACAGGTCAAGCTACTGGTGCGATTTCATTGAAACTTCACATGAGTGATCATTACCATCCCAAGTTGTTCATATTACTGGCATGTTCTGCTTTGCTGCACAAAATCACCCTGCCAGACCTGAAAATAGAAAAATTACTTCCGGCTATCACAGGTCAAACTGTTGGAGGGATTTCCACCAAAATTCAAACGAGTTCAGTACCATCCCTAGTTGTGCATATCACGGCATGTTCCGATTTGCTGCACAAAATGGCCGTCAGAGCTATAAACAAAAATATCTAGTTCAACTTTCACAGGTTATGCTACTGATGGTATTTTAATGAAACTTCACATGTGTGATCATAACCATCCTTTATTGTGCATGTTGCCGGAATATTCTGTTTTGCTGCAGAGAATGGCTGCCAGAGCTAGAAATAGAAAAATCATGTCCGTCTATCTATGGTCAAACTGCTAGCGGGGTTTCGACCAAAATTCATAGTATACATAGTTTTGGGAGACATAATTATGTTTTTTTGTGACAAAACCCTTCTAGTATTGAAATATGAATTGAACAAAGTGGAAGATGTGGTTTAACTTGCATTATTTGACACATTTATGGAACAAGGTATCTATGTAATTATTTTTTGTTATTTTCAGGAGGTTTGTTATTGAGTGGTGTGTATGATTTGACACCGTTAGTAAACACATATATGAATGATCCTATCAAAATGACGCTGTGAGTGTTTAACAATTTTCTCTCTCATTTTTGTAATTTTTCTTAGGAAATACATGTATATGTTTAACTTTTTTTAATGTTATATTTCACTTTATTCCTGTTTTGCTTGTAAATAATTTTAGTTATCTTTTCCTTGAATTGTGTACTATGTATATCTGTAAAGCCCTGTTATCCCAACTTCATTAGACAGGACTGTATTTTCATTTTAAATGCTCTGATTTCATAACATTGACAAAATGAATTTATTGTATGTATTATTATCTTAACAGTTGTTTGTTTATTTTTTCTCTTAATATTATTTTTATCTTTTGTTCCTGTCGGATACAAGCTTAACGCTTCTGTTTTATACTGTTAACCATAACCGACTATAGATAAAGTTTGTCTTACTGTCTTACAGACTTAACTAAACTGCGTTTGCATTATGTTCTTTTTAAGTTTAAATTAACAAAATACAAAACATTTTTATGAAAAACTTTGCTTTTTGAAAAGATAAGACCTTTATGAGTTATATGTAATGATTTTGGTTTTTCAAAAGTCAAGTTGATTTTTCATATTCTTGGGGGAATAATATTTTGTTTCACCCTTTAGCTGAAATATAGAACTATAAGCACAGCACACTGGTAATAAGTTTGGACACAATTTGTGACAATATGTATTTGATATTTTAAACAACAAATGATTGCAACATTTTAATACGGTTGTAGTTGTAGAGTATGAAATTGGTTGTTTCACTTCAAATTTCACAAGAAACAACAGAATTCCTAGATTTAGTCTAGATTCAGTGTTCACATTAAAATGGAAAATTTTAAAAAAATATGTTAAGCCTAATTAAATTTATTTTTAATTTAAATGTCGGGTTTACCTGAAAAACACAACTATAGATATAACTTGGGTTTAAATGATTTTTTTTAAAAGCTATATCAGTTAGGGTTTTTTTATTAAAGGGGTTTTTATTTTATAAAGTTATAGGGGCTCATAGAAAATTGTTTTGGGAAGTTTTTTTAAACCCCCTTTAAAATCCTTTTTTAAAGTATAAAATCAGGGGGATTTGTTTTTATTTTTTAAAGGCTTTTTTAAAATTAATTTAAAAAAATTGGTGAGATTTTTTTGTTGAATGATTTTTTCAGAAAATAGGGCTGATAGAAACACCCCAGTGACCATCTTGAAAGATTGTAGTTTTTTAAGGGAAAGCGTAGTTTTTAAATTGTTCCCTATGGCGATCATGACCCGCCTGAATTCAAGCGTCAGAGTACAGAGTTCAACAGTGTTAGTACTTTTCTACTTGCATCATTCCTTTTTTCAAAATGTTTCAATGAATTTGACACCTAATTAAATGACAAAGATAGGTACATGTAATATGCATAATAATAACTCAGGGAGATGTTTTTTTCTGGTTTCTGGCTTGACTTAGTACACAGAAAATAAAATATATCTCTGTTCATTGATAGGGTTAAAGAGTCTCTACAATAGTTGCTATTTTTCTCTAAATGCATATGTCACAGTTTATAACTGTTTACTATTTGAGAGGAGAATATTTATAAGCGGCTGAATAAGCTCAGTCAGGTAGAGCTGTGGTATGGTATTTTGAGGGTCCTGGGTTAGAGTCTCGGTCTGACTGCACATTTGTCTCAACCTGTGACCACATAAACTTACTTATTTAAAAAATATTACTCAAGATTCATAAAAGTATGTTATTTGTCCTTTCTTCATATATTTATATAAGGTTTTTAATGTAAGCTGTATTTATTTCAGGCTCTTTTATCAAAAGGTGTTCACTCCACGTTGATGGTCATACCAGATACAGACCATTTTAATGTGATAGAAAATCTACGTCTGGAGGAATACAGTCTCAGTCAGGTACTTTGTCATTATATATAAAATGTCTGTAGACGTTAATATATTGAAACTTTTGTTCAATAATGTAATTGGAAAAATGTCAGTCAATAAGTGTATGAATAAACATGATAAAAATTGAAACATTTTCATTGAATGGATATCTTTCAAATAACCTGCTGAATGTGTGAAATCAACTTGGACTTACCTAATTTTCAATTTTTGGAATTTGTCCGTAAAATAAAGGTAAAATTTAAAAAGTTAAGTCAGCAAAATTATAAGTTCGGACTTTTTTCGGGCAAATTTTACCCTTTACGGGGGGCAAAGGCTAAAAAAACTTTTCTTTTTAAAAGGGGGAAAAGGGTTTCCAAAAAAAATTTTTAAATTTTTCAAATTTTATATTATCATTAGCAATATTTTATGTATTTTTTTAATTATTTCCCAGAAATACAAAATTTTTAAATGATGTTTTTCGTTAATTTTTAAATTTTTTTTTTATTTTTTTTTAAAGGAAATTATAAATTAAAATGAATTTAAAATATTGAAAAAATATTTGGCCAGAGGGCGGGGACCCAAAATTTTTTTGCATACATATAAAAAAACATTTTGTTTTAATTTAAACCCAAAAAAATGGTTGCAAAATGGTGAAAGGGAAAAAAAGGTTTTTTCTAATAATAGGGGTGAATTTTAAAAAAATTGGGGGAAAAAAGCGAAAAATACTTTATTAGGGAAAGTGCCCCAGCTAAAAAGGGGTTTTGTTTTGCTAATCTAAATGCCCCCTCATTTTTTTGTACAAAGTTTAAAAAGTTCGGGTTTTTATTTGGGTAATTTGGGGTTACGGGTTTAAGAAAAACATCGAAAATTTTCCAAACTGTGAAAAAAGTTAACAAAATTTGAACATGGGCTTATCTCCCAGTTTTTTATTTTAAATTAAAATCAATTTTAATTAAAAATGGCCTGTTTTGATTTTAATTTTGTATGCATGTCCTTTTTAAAAAACCTTCTAAATTTATGTATAATGTTGGTGACTTTTTTGAAAAAAATCCCGGGTTGACTGGGCACAAATTTACAGATGATCTTTTTTTAGCTTTTAGAAGAAAAGTTTTAAAAATTTGACAGTGGAATCTTGGTAATCAGTAGTACACATCGTCTTACAATATCATTGTGTTGGATGTCAAGATTTTTTGTGCTGTTATATTCAGATTTTAAGTAAAACATCTCAGCAGTATTAAGAGGCAGAACTTATATAGATACATGTTGTTTGTACTTTCTTCTTTGTTATTGAGATTTTATGTGATTGTTGAATTTTATGTACATGTAATTCTAATGTGTTCATAGAACTAATGCATTTTATGTTGTTTTATTTGAATAAATACATAATAAAATATATAATTATATCATACAAAATGGAAATATCCAGTCAGTGTTTTTATGATTGTATAGATAGCTTATTTTGAACTTAATTGAAATAATTATGTATGTAGTTTTGGGTCACTAGGTTCAAGGTCAAATCTTTTAATTTTGTATATTTGTTTACCCTATATTGGCAAGTCGAAAATTTTTTCAGTGCCATCAAATAGCAATGACATGACCATGGGGAGAGGCCAAACTGGTGGGGGTCCTCGAGTCCTCATGCACAGAATATAAGAATCAACAAGAAATGTCAAACAACACATATGCCCCCATTTCTAGTACTGGACTCAAATTATTGGTTATTTTGTTGTAGAAACTTGCCATAAATGGGTACATGGAAGTGTTCAGTTATGGAAAAAAGATAAAAAATGAAGACTGTGATAGTTTTCAAGAAAATGAAGTGTGACCTTGACCTTTGAACTTGTGACCAAAATTAATAAGGGTCATCGAATAGTTATGACAAATCAATATTACAAATATGAAGACGTTATGGTAAATTGCTTTCAAGATAATGAGAGTTCCCATGTTGTGTCACGTGTAGTTATGACCAATCAGTATGTGAAATATGAAGACTCTGTGATAAATAGTTTTCAAGATAATAAGCGGAAACCATTCTGACACTTTGATATTTATATTTCATATTTATCTTAAAAAAAGGAAATATATTTGACTGATATAGCACCATATTTCATGGGAAAAATTAAATAATACTCAAGATTCATACAAGTATGTTATTTGTCCTTTCTTCATATATTTATATAAGGTTCTAATGTAAGCTGTATTTATTAGAGGCTCTTTTATCAAAAGGTCTTCGTTCCACGTTGATGGTCATACCAGATATTGACCATTTTAATGTGATAGAAAATCTATGTCTGGAGGAATACAGTTTAAGTCAGGTACTTTGTCTTTATATATAAAATGTCTGTAGACCTTACTTCAATAATGTAATTAGAAACATGTCAGTCAATAAGAGTAAGAATAAACATGACATAACTGGTGGTAAAGACTAATCTTTTTCTGTTTACAGCAGGGGAAATGTTAAAGGAAATGTTAAATTCCTCTAAACCTTGTATATGATCATTCGCGCTATATTGTATTAGTAATTAGATTTTCCAGAAATGCTAACGATGTGTCGTAATTCTTAATTTAACAGTTTTATTTTTACTATTCTAAATTTTATTGCTATATTTTTTTCCAGGAAGTTATAAAGTTAATGAATCTGAATATTGATACAATACTGGACCAGATGCAGGTTGCAGCAAATTTATCTTAGCATACATATATAAACATTTTGTGTAAATTTTACTCACATCAGAATGGTTGCAAATGGTGCAGGGAACCAGTTTTTCAAACTAGTAGTGTGAAATGTATATAAATTTGGGAACCAGCTAACAACATACATTATATGAGGAAACTGTCCAGCTAGAGATACTTGTCTGCTCTACCTAAATGCTCCCCTTATTATTTGTACAAGAATGGTGTAGGGAACCAGTCTTTCAAACTAGTAGTGTGAATTGTATATAAATTTGGGAACCAGCTAACAACATACATTATATGAGGAAACTGTCCAGATAGAGATGGTTGTCTGCTCTACCTAAATGCTCCCCTGATTATTTGCACCAGAGTAAGTTATCATATTGGCAACTTGAATACAGGGTATAGTAAAATATCAAGAAGTACCGCTGTTTAAATGTTAACAATTGTGTAAAAGTTAACAAAATATGTGAACATAGGAGCCTTATCTGTCAGTTGTTTTGTATTTAAGTCTATTACAATAATTCAATGTGGCCTGTTTGATGAAATTTTTGAACCATAACTCTGCCTCGCTTATTTTGGAATTATTGCCCTTTGTTTATTTTTACACTTTGAACATTGTCCGGGACATAACTCAAAAATTATAAGAGATATTAACATGAAACTTTAAAGAGAGATAGATCTTATTGGGTAAAAGTGCATTGCAAAAGAACCGTAATTCTGTTTTGCCTGATTTTGGAGTAATTGCCCTTTGTTTATTTTTAGTCTTTGAACTTTGTCCGGGACATAACTCTAAAATCATAAAAGATATCAACATGAAACTTTATAGGTAGATAGATCTTATTGAAAAGAAGTAAAGAGCAAAAGAGTAATTACTCTGCCTTGCCTTATTTTGGAGTTATTGCCCTTTGGTATTTTTTTTTTCGCTTTTAACATTGTCGGAGACATAGCTTTTGAAACATAAGAGGTTTGTAGGTAGATTGATATCATTAAATAGAAGTGCAGACTTCTAGATGCATAGAATGGTTTAAATATAACTTGGCAGAATTTTTTACCAGTGTGAGCTGGTGTTGTACACAAAATCAAGGTCCGTGTTTCATAGGTCAAGGTCACATATAGTGGTTAAAGGTCAGATAAGAATATGAACATTTTTATCGACAATTTTGTACGCTTGAAATCACAATTATTCACATTTATGCAATGAGTGTAATTTCAGACTCACCATGCAAAGATAAGGTCACCAAAGGTTAATAATTGTCAGAAGCATATTTTCTACATATATGGAGAAATCATAGTTGCATACATTAAGGGATTGATATATATTAATATATAATAACTTGCCATAAATGTTCAATGGTCAAGGTCACATGTTGAAGATCAAGGTTAGACAAATAAATGAAAATGTGAGTATTGAGCATTTAGTCATCATTGTTGGATTTTAATGTTCGTGTTCACTATTATAAGACTGAGCATTTTTTAATGGCTTATATTATGACTTAGTAGTAATCTTGTTTTTTTTTTAAAAAATTTGTCTTTGTTTACTTCTTCCAGTATTTAATTAGTCAAGCATGCTGTCTTCTCTGATGGCAATTTTTATTTTTTTAAATATAACAAAAATACAAACTGAAATAGATAAAAAGATGAAAAAAGTATGACATTTATTTTTCTTGCAAATTATTTATTATTATACAAATGACCCTACTAGTTATGCAATCATCCAATACATAATTCATGTCAACATCATAAAACTATTATTTTCTGCAAATTATACTTTAACAAATATACGATACTTATGGTGACGACTATACCCTAGTTTTATTCTAAGAATGATTATTCAGAAGTTAATAGACTTGTCTTACAATGTTTTTATTTGTTTTGATTTTTTTATTTAAGGTCATATATCCGTATATTTGTATCGCCTACAAAAAGTTTATTGTTTGTGTGAAAAACACTGCAAACTTCCACGTTTTGGAAAACTTGAAGTTTTTTACATTCGGGAGACAGTCGATGAATACAATCATTTCCTGTGCTGCTAACATAGACATTGTCTTCATCATCAACTGTAAGGCCCCATGGTTCTATTAGATCATTATCTTTATATATTGCCTTGATATGCCCATCTAATGTTAAACTGGTCACAGAATCTTTATCATTATCAGAAACATAGATGGTATTATGATCTTTGCTGATTGCTATTCCATAACAGCTAGTAAACAGCTGTCCTCCATCAGAATCTGTTTTGATCGTACTTAGAACTTTACCATCCATGTTAAGAATTTTAATACATGTTCTTTCAGTCAGAATAATTTTTCCACTGCTATATACTATTCCAAAACATAATTCGGTTGATATTCTGCCCTCTCTTTTACTTAATAATCCAGATTTTGAAATTGATAGAATTTCGATTCCACCCGCGGTACCCATAGCAACTTGGTCATCATTTATTTTAGCTAAACTCCATGGAACATCTTCTAGTTTCAGTTTTGATGCCACAGTTTGTTTCCTTAAATCAATTGCTTTAATTGTTCTATTTTGTCTATCAGCAACAAGGACAAAATGTTGATGTGTTAATGTGACACCAAGGACTGAGGGAGATTTCCTATCACTATCAGTGTTAACCTGTATTTCTGTGTCAAGAGTCAGTGATTTCATATTTTTGTTAACAACAGTACTGCTAGTTGTGTTATTTGAAGTATCTGATAGATTTGAAGGTTGTTTTGATGCAGTTGTTTGAAGTTTTCTGCTGTGATGTTTTGCTTGTATTTCTGGTGTAACAGTTTCTATTCTGCATATCTCAGTTACCTTTCCCATCATGTCTGTAATCTGAGGAGAAGGAAGAAGTTCATACTGGAGTATTTTATTTTCCGCATGTAAACTTTGTAATTGTTTTTCAACTTTCCCAGTATTCCTAGCTGATTGTTTCATAGCTATGAAGGCTTCACAGTGTTGACCAGCTTTCTTTTTCACATCAATCTTTGTTTTCAGTTCTTTAAGGTCTTTATCCATGGTATTGTATGTTGTAGACATTTTAGTGAAGGCGGTTGTATTACTTGCATGTATTTCATCAATTTTGTTCTCCATTTCTTTCTCAAGGTTATCAAAGAATTTGTTAATTTCTTTACGTTGTTTGTTCAGCTCAGTTTTTGCTACCTTTCTCATATCATCTGCTATAGCTGACATTGAGTTCAGTGTATTTCTATCATCTTGAACTTGCTGTGACATGACATCGACTTTAGCTACATATGTTTGTAGATCATCTGTGATATTTATAGCCTTCACAAGTTTAGGAATGTGTTCCACTTTATCACATTGCCTATGATTTAATGTAATACATGTAGTGCATCCAAGCATGTCACATGACGAACAGAAATATTCAATGACCTTGTCTACATGAAGGTTACATGTTGTAACACAAACATCCTGTACATATTTATCCTTCACAGTTTGAGGCATAGTGTGTTTATCCTGAAGAACATGGCTCCTGGAAGCTTTAGAAAGTTTATGATTCTTGTAACATTGTCCACAGAGATATTCAGGGCAGTCCACACAGAAACCTTCAGCCTCTGCCTGTCTTCCATCTTGTTCACAAGGTTCACAAAAAATAACTTCTGCCTCGTCAGAACCTCCAATAACAGACCTGCTATGATCCATACACTCGGCCATTTTATCTGTACTACATTTAAAGTTACCCGTATGTCAGTGATATGAAGTACTTGTTTAAACGTGTTTATCTGTTATTGAACACTATCGTAGATATTTAGGTCAGGTACCCGGATATATACAGGGAGGTGTAAAATTACAATGCAGTATTTAACTCTATAAAAAGCTTGCACTGACATAGCTGTATAAGATACAGCAGTACTAGTTTATGTATAATTTAAATGTATTGTATATACATGACTGTAACGCTAAATTATTATAATGATTGAAATATTTTGTTGTGTTGTATCATATTAAACCTGAATTATGCGAGTTAAAGTTACATTAAATAAATATGTAAAAATATTTTGCCGTCGGCCTAAAAACCAAGCATTATACAGTTTCATAAACCTTTTTAACAGTTATGTTGTAAATCTCATCAAATATTGTTTATAAATTAGGATTTTAAACGGAAAACCCCACGGTAACACTAAAGTTCGTATACGAATTTTAACATGCAAATGAAGACTATAATCAGCTCGTGTATGCGCTACGTCACGGTCCGGAACACAGCAAATATAAGATTTTCTTGTGCAAACACACTTTTACCGTTTAAGCTTCACGGTGCACTAGGCCTGTGGTTCAGAAAAAGTAATCATCTCATAATAAAGATTAAATTTGTATGAAAATATCCGTTACAATGCGGAAATATACCGTTAAATTAAGACTGCTACTTATAGTCATATTTGTTGATTTAATATTGATGTACACGGAGTTTCTCATGCAAACAGAAATTGTACTTCCGAATTTGCCACAATGGGGTTGCACATTTGTATGCTCATTAAACTCATTTTGGTTGTCTGGACACCAAAATAAGATCTGAAGTCGATATGAACCCCAATTTATTAATGAAATGTCGCTATTTCTTTTTTATGAAATTTATTTTGTTTCGGTTCGCAGCATATTTATGTTAATTTTTTATGAAAACTTGAAAAATCCAAATTCTGTGTAAAAATGTTATCAATAACGCAAATACATAAATTTTATTTACTCCATTAGTAACAGGGTAGAATTTTTTGTGTTAAAATATAAAAAATATTTCATATTTTGCACAATACATCACTGTCATCTAGATTTAAATAGTTATATATTTTCATACAATAAATGCATTTTTTCATAAATTTTAACCCCTCGGCATATACATGATGTTACTGAAAAATGTATGATCGTCTCAGGATGAACTTACCCTTGACAATAAAGGGTGTTTTTCATCTACATCTACATCATACTGCTTAACAATCAATTCTGATTATGACTAGCAGGCGCGTTGTCAGGGAACTGTTAATAAAAGAATTTATTTATATGCAAATTAAAAAGTTAAAAGAATAAAAGTTCTACAAGACTATTAATTTAAAAACATAGTGTGCAGTTTAGAATTTATAGAATGGGTCAAGCCTCTCAGTAAAGATGTTTAAACTGGGGCTGGACTGAACAGTTAGGGGAAGGCTATTCCAAAGACGTATGCTCCTAGGAAAGAAAGAATTTTGATGATATTGTGTCCTCGAGTAGGGTATCAGGTAGTTCAGATTTCTTGTTTGAGTAAGGTGTTGGTGGTCAACAAAAACAATTTTGTTTTGGATTTTACACAAGTAGGTTACAGCACTGATGTTTCGACGCTGCTCAAGGGTTTGCCAATTAAGATCATTTATCATTTTTGAGACACTACTTGTATAGTCATAATCATTAAAAATGTATCTAGCAGCTGATCTTTGTACTTGCTCTATCTTATAAATTAGGTATTTCTGCCAAGGATGCCAAACTATGGAGCAATATTCAACCTGAGGTCTAACATAGGTCTTATATGCAGTTTCTTTTATCTTTTTATTTGGAGTTTTAACATTTCTTCTAATGAATCTGAGGGAGTTATTTGCC